GGGTTCCTCTCTGCGCTCCTTTCGGCGTTCCTCTCTGCGCTCCTTTCGGTGTTCCTCTCGTCGTTCCTCTCTGGGTTCCTCTCTGGGTTCCTCTCTGCGCTCCTTTCGGCGTTCCTCTCTGCGCTCCTTTCGGTGTTCCTCTCGTCGTTCCTCTCTGGGTTCCTCTCTGGGTTCCTCTCTGCGCTCCTTTCGGCGTTCCTCTCTGGGTTCCTCTCTGCGCTCCTTTCGGCGTTCCTCTCTGCACTCCTTTCGGTGTTCCTCTCGTCGTTCCTCTCTGTGTTCCTCTGCCCTGCGTTCCTCTCACGGCCTGGAGTGTCTGCGCTGTAGCTAAGCGCCGCAGTCGAGCGTCACAGTGCTCTGATCTGACAGTTTAACACAGCTTTACACACAGCAGCATTAGCATCCTTATTAGCCTGTTTATAACAGTACATAGAGTCTATAAACACAGTTAGCCTCTTTATACATGTGTATATAGATAACATTTAGCTTGTTTAACCAAAGCTACCAGTCAGCCTTCATATATAGGGAACAATTAGCTTGTTCATAAATGTAAATACTTATCAATTACACTGTTTATAAATGTCTAGTTAATAATTAGTCTGTTTATAAATGTAGATAGTTAATAATTAATCTGTTTATAAATGTAGATAGTTAATAATTAGTCTGTTTATAAATGTCTAGTTAATGATTAGTCTGTTTATAAATGTCTAGTTAATGATTAGTCTGTTTATAAAAGTAGACAGTTAATAATTAGTCTGTTTATAAATGTCTAGTTAATAATTAGTCTGTTTATAATTGTAAATAGTTAATAATTAGCCTGTTTATAAATGTAGATAGTTAATAATTAGTGTTTATAAATGTAGATAGTTAATAATTAATCTGTTTATAAATGTAGATAGTTAATAATTAGCCTGTTTATAAATGTCTAGTTAATAATTAGTCTGTTTATAAATGTCTAGTTAATGATTAGTCTGTTTATAAAAGTAGATAGTTAATAATTAGTCTGTTTATAAATGACTAGTTAATAATTAGTCTGTTTATAATTGTAAATAGTTAATAATTAGCCTGTTTATAAATGTAGATAGTTAATAATTAGTCTGTTTATAAATGTCTAGTTAATGATTAGTCTGTTTATAAATGTCTAGTTAATGATTAGTCTGTTTATAAAAGTAGACAGTTAATAATTAGTCTGTTTATAAATGTCTAGTTAATAATTAGTCTGTTTATAATTGTAAATAGTTAATAATTAGCCTGTTTATAAATGTAGATAGTTAATAATTAGTGTTTATAAATGTAGATAGTTAATAATTAATCTGTTTATAAATGTAGATAGTTAATAATTAGTCTGTTTATAAATGTCTAGTTAATAATTAGTCTGTTTATAAATGTAGATAGTTAATAATTAGTCTGTTTATAAATGTAGATAGTTAATAATTAGACTGTTTATAAATGTCTAGTTAATAATTAGACTGTTTATAAATGTCTAGTTAATAATTAGTCTGTTTATAAATGTCTAGTTAATAATTAGTCTGTTTATAAATGTAGATAGTTAATAATTAGTCTGTTTATAAATGTAGATAGTTAATAATTAGTCTGTTTATAAATGTCTAGTTAATAATTAGTCTGTTTATAATTGTAAATAGTTAATAATTAGTCTGTTTATAAATGTAGATAGTTAATAATTAGACTGTTTATAAATGTCTAGTTAATAATTAGACTGTTTATAAATGTCTAGTTAATAATTAGTCTGTTTATAAATGTCTAGTTAATAATTAGTCTGTTTATAAATGTAGATAGTTAATAATTAGTCTGTTTATAAATGTCTAGTTAATAATTAGCTTGTTTATAAATGTCTAGTTAATAATTAGTCTCTTTATAAATGTCTAGTTAATAATTAGTCTGTTTATAAATGTAGATTGTTAATAATTAGTCTGTTTATAAATGTTGATAGTTAATAATTAGTCTGTTTATAAATGTAGATAGTTAATAATTAGTCTGTTTATAAATGTAGATAGTTAATAATTAGCCTGTTTATAAATGTCTAGTTAAAAATTAGTTTGTTTATAAATGTCTAGTTAATAATTAGTCTGTTTATAAATGTAGATAGTTAATAATTAGTCTGTTTATAAATGTAGTTAATAATTAGCCTGTTTATAAATGTCTAGTTAATAATTAGCCTGTTTATAAATGTCTAGTTAATAATTAGTCTGTTTATAAATGTAGATTGTTAATAATTAGTCTGTTTATAAATGTAGATAGTTAATAATTAGTCTGTTTATAAATGTAGATTGTTAATAATTAGTCTGTTTATAAATGTAGATAGTTAATAATTAGCCTGTTTATAAATGTCTAGTTAATAATTAGTCTGTTTATAAATGTAGATTGTTAATAATTAGTCTGTTTATAAATGTAGATAGTTAATAATTAGTCTGTTTATAAATGTCTAGTTAATAATTAGCCTGTTTATAAATGTCTAGTTAATAATTAGTCTGTTTATAAATGTCTAGTTAATAATTAGCCTGTTTATAAATGTCTAGTTAGTAATTAGTCTGTTTATAAATGTCTAGTTAATAATTAGTCTGTTTATAAATGTCTAGTTAATAATTAGTCTGTTTATAAATGTCTAGTTAGTAATTAGTCTGTTTATAAATGTCTAGTTAGTAATTAGTCTGTTAAAGTGAGTGACAGGGTGACCGTTCCAGGCAGCAGTGCTTCCTCGGCTCAGCGGGCAGCGTAAAGACCCTGGATGGGTCTCCTTGACTCCTCGGCAGGTCTTCCGGTCTCCTCCTGCGGGTGGGCTCGAGTGTTGCCCCCGTGCTGGTGGGGGGTGAAGCGGAGCGTGAAGCGCAGGACGGCGTGCGGCTGTTAGACACAGCTGAAGGTGGAGGGAGCAGATACGAGGCAGCTGTCAGCCGCTGACACGCTCTTAGTCACGGCTCTCTGGAGAGACAGAGATATCACAGCCACGAGCCGCGGGAGGCTAATCTGAGGGGGGCAGTGTTGAAGCGAAGCCCCCTCAGTGTAACACTGAAATAAAACAGTGATGAAAGGAACAGGGTGAAGAAGTGCCTCTGTCTAAAACGATGATGAGGCAGGATGTGCGTCCCCGTCACAGTGGGCAGGAACCGCGACAGTCCACCGAGATCCGCAAAGTCAGAGAGGAACGATGTGCTAACCAGGAGCGTTTAGCGCCAGCACGTTCGTGCGCTAGCTTAGCCAGTGCTAGCGCTGTTTGCACAGTGCAGTTAGCAAGCTAACAGCTAAACGCACACGGCGTATCCGGACAGCAGAGATCGAGATCAAAGGCTGAAATCCCTCCGACTCACGGGAGCTGATTATTAGCAGCTCAGCTCTTCTCTGGAGCTCATCACGGTGCAGACGGCAGCTAACGGCCCGTCAGCACCACTACGTCATCACACTTAGCAGATGAGGCAGATAAACAACAGATCAATACTTAAAACAGTGAAGGTAGTGTCTGCTGCTGAGACACCGTTAGAGGGCAGCGCTGAGCACTGTTTGTTTGTTTGAGCTCGAGCTGATTCAGCTGCTAATTCTGACTGCTGGGAGGCGACGTGGCTAATTTTGGATACAAGGAACAAAAACAGGCTGTTAAATCTTTAATCACCACAAATGATCAACGCAGTCGTGACGGGACGATAACGAGCTAAACCTGCAGATTCCGTTTATGCTGGTCTACTGCTGGTCTGCTTCTGGTTTATACTGGTCTAGTGCTGGTTTAGTACTGGTCTGTGCTGGTCTACTGCTGGTTTATGCTGGTTTAGTACTGGTCTCTGTTGGTCTAGTGCTGGTTTATGCTGGTTTAGTGCTGGTCTGTGCTGGTTTAGTGCTGGTCTGTGCTGGTTTAGTGCTGGTCTGTGCTGGTCTAGTGCTGGTTTATTTCTCGCCTGCCTCTGGTTTATACCGGTCTATACTGGTCTGTTTCTGGTTTATACTGGTCTAGTGCTGGTTTATATTAGTCTAGTGCTGGTTTAGTGCTGGTCTGTGTTGGTTTTTGCTGGTATATGCTGGTCTAGTGCTGGTTTATTTCTGGTCTGTTTCTGGTTTATACTGGTCTAGTCCTGGTTTATGCTAGTCTAGTGCTGGTTTAGTGCTGGTCTGTGCTGGTCTAGTGCTGGTTTATTTCTGGTCTGCCTCTGCCTCTGGTCTATACTGGTCTAGTTCTGGTTTATACTGGTCTAGTGCTGGTTTATGTTAGTCTAGTGCTGGTTTAGTGCTGGTCTGTGTTGGTTTATGCTGGTATATGCTGGTCTAGTGCTGGTTTAGCTGGTGACCCCAGTATAGTCATGCTGGTTGACCAGCATACCAGGATCCCAAACACAATATATGCTGGTTTTGGTGGTGATCAGCTATTAGGGTAAAACTGTACTCACTTAAATCTGGTTCTTCAAGGGTTCTTCAGTAAAGAGAAAGGTTCTACTAAGAGCCATGAGTTCTATATTGCTTAAATGGTCCCTTACATGGTGAAATGGTTCTTCAGATGGATGGACAATGTGTTTTGTGGTTCTATAAAGCACCAAAAAAGGGTCCTTCTATTGTTACAAGCTTGTCATTGTACACAATAACAGAATCCTTTTTGAAAATGGTTCTATACAGAACCATATACACCACATTCTCCGTCAAGCTGACGTCTAACTAGAGGTCACGGGTCTAAATAGAGAAAAGCCCTTGTAGAACCATGTTCTGTAGGTGTGTAGAGATGCTCCGGGGACTTTCTGGGGTATAAAAATAACTCCTAGAAAGATTTAACAGCTTATTATCCCACATCACCTTCCGAGGGAAGTTCAGGGGTTTTCTGTGTGTTTGTTCTGGTTTTATGTCTATTTAATTGACATTCGGTGGAATTTTCTCAGACGAATGTTGAGGTTTTGTTGAGACTGTTGGGTGTAAAGCAAACAGAGGTTCTCCGACTCCCCAGATCCGGCGCCGGAGTGAGACGCAGACGCGCTGATTGATCTCCCGGTGTTTGATCTGTGTTCCAGGTTAACGTTTCTCCAGGCTGCAGCAAAGCTCTGACGAAGATGCTGTACTGCCCGTACTGCGGCGGACTCCTGGGACTGCGGCCTTGTGGGAATTACTGCCAGAACGTAATGAAGGGCTGCCTCGCCAACCAGGCCGACCTGGACCCGGAGTGGAACCTCTTCATCGGTGAGTTCCTCTGTTCTCCTTTCTGCTGTCGGCTGCTTTTACAGGCCTGCAGGTAGAGCTGAGTGACGTGAAGGCAGGTCGGTGCTGATGAACAATGATGGGAACGATCAGCACCTTTAGAGCACTGAAGAACATGGATCACCAAAAGAACAGATCAGACCAATTCTAGAGAACCTCTGAACAGCCAGCTTACAGACTTAAAAAGATGGTTCTTCAAAGGTTCTTTAGTAAAGACAGTGAACCCTGAACACTCAAAGAACCATGTGCATGCTTAAGGGTTCTTTGCATGGTGAAATGATGGAGAACGTGTTGTATATGGTTCTATATTGCATCACAGAAGGGTCTGCTATTGTTGCAAGCTTGATGTTGTGACAACAGAACCCTTTTTTGGTGCCCTATAGAACCATTTCTGACATCACACACAGCCCATAAGCACATTCCCAATCTGCCTAAAGAACCACTTCACCATGCAACGAACATTTCAGCAGGAAACGAACTCGTGATTGTAAATAGAACCAATGTCTTTACTAAAGAACCTTTGAAGGACCATCTTCCAAGTGTGCAGAGTCACTGTATAAACTGTAGGCATGTTCTTCTTTTGTCTTCTTGTTCATTTTTAGCAGTTTGTAATAAACAGATGTTTCAGATTTGGAGAATCTACAGCGTCACGTAAACTAATTCAGTCGTTTAAGCTGGGGTGATTTGCACTGATTAACACTTGTATAATATATTTTCTACTAACATATGCAGGTAAACAAGGTCTGTAGACTCTCCTCAGTCCAGATGTGGATTTTATTCCTGTTCCTTTCTAAAAAGTTTATTTTTGCACACTTTAAATAGAAAAAGCCCTCAGTTTCTCCACCTGTTTAAACACAGCACGGCTGTTTTATCCCTCCCAGCTCATCCTCAGATCCCAGGAAAGCGGAATACCGTGATCCGTATCGTGTATCGCTCAGTTGTGTCCGGGTATCATGATGTTGCGCTCCTGCTGTATCGCCCAGCCTTTCCTCCAGGCCTCCTTATTACGCTCTGCTGGCAATAAGGTGTGTTATTGTTGTGGATCCGGCAGCGCGGCTTTCCCGCGTCGCGCAGAGATTCGCAGGTTTTATTCGCAGCTTTAAGGAGATTTGGAAGCAGGAAAGCAGTGAGAACACGCTCGTAGGATGTGCGCGTGTGGGCGCTGGAGCTGTTTTGTATTTTCTGCACTTTATGATGATGTACAGAGTTGCAGGAAAAGCTCCGCTAAGCTCTGCCGTTACAGAACAGGAGCAGGAACACAACTCTAAGCTCTGCTTTATGGAACTCAGGAGCTCTGAGGCAGCGAGCTTGAGTGGCAGCTCGGTCTGCGCCGCTCAAACCCGCAGAGAGGTCGGCCGAATTGATATGGAGAAAGTCAATAGCTCTTTATTTTCAGTTTTCCCAGCCGGGCGGAGATGCTAAATTCATTAAATTTACACACACGGGGCGCAGCAGGTCCATATTTAGCCTGTTAATGATATCAGAAGGGTATTTCCACAGTGACCAGGTGTATTTCCCTGGACACTCCACGAGTTAGAGCTTCGTTTTAGGTTTGTTCTCAAAAACTGGTTATCCGTCCACTCTATCAGTGCTTCTCAAAGTGGTCCTCAGAGCCCCCCAGATGGTCCACATTCTCTATCCCTGCACATCGGGAGTTAAGCTGCTGCAAAAATGTGGACTATCTGGGGGCCCTGAGAACCCTCGGCAGGCCTGGTTTGAAGACCACCGCCTCATGGAACGATGGCCGTCTGAAGTCGTGCTGTTGTGGTTACATTATCAGCGCCGTGTCCGTGTGAGGAGCTCCGGGTCTGAGCAGATTCTTTATGGCAAAATAAAAGGCATTTTCAGAAATTTCACCCAACAAAAATGGTACAGAGCTGATATGTTTTGCGGCCTCCTGACTCGGAAAGACTCGAGACCCAAAGTGGAAGAAGCGTGAAAAGGCGCCTGACTGCAGACGGGACTCTGCACAGCCGCTTCCTGTTCATGTGAGTGGATTTGTTTCCTACCGTAAATCTGAGATGCAGCTGCCTGTGGTGTCAGATGTCTGTTACTGTGTTCACACTTCGCTTATTCTTCAAGTTCACCTCCGTAAGTTAGAAACCAGCCGCTCAGCGCTGAGCTTACTGATGCCTGTTATTCCCCAGCTTCATTCTGGATTTTGTCGTTCCACCTTAAGGACTCGACTCCTGTTTGGGTAACTGGGGTGATGTACACATGCAGTGAGCTCATAATGACCAATCAGATCAGCTCTGCGTAATGTGGGTCACTGGAAGTCACTATCCAGCCAATCAAGCGTCCTGATCTGACGGCGAGTGGGTGTGATAGGCTACGCTAAGTTAGCTAAGCTAAGCAGTGTAGGAGCAGCCTGATGTCTAAAGTCTGATCATGGTCATTAACGCAGACTCTTTTAGAGCGGTCACTGACCGGTCTGTACCGTGACCCTGAGTAAAAAGAACCTCTCAACCTCGTCCTGTCGGAGGGAACCGCTCAGATGGGCTGCTGCGCTCCAGTGTTCTTAAAGCAGTGCAGAAAGAACTGTTAATGTTCCTTTAACGAGGACCCTCATAAACAGGTCACCTTTTTAGAGCCGCCGTCGTTAGGAGGGTCTTATTAACGCTCTGATGTGTCTGAGCGCCAGGCTGCTCTCACGGTCAGCATGTGACCTCCTGACAATATACCAACAACAGATTAGAGGATTATCTACACTATTGAAAAGTATGGTTCTTCAAGGGTTCTTCAGTGAAGGGAATGCCTCTATATATAGAACCACAAACACTCAAAGAACCTTGTGCATGACTAAATGGTTCTTCATGGCGATGGAGAATGTGCTGTATGTGGTTGTTGTAAATGCACCAAGAAGGGCTCTGCTATTGTATACAAGATTTTGGTGCTATCTAGAGCCATTGTCTTTACTAAAGAACCCTTGAAGAACCTTTTTCAAGTGTGTAGTGTAATAAATAAGAATGTGGGAAAAGTGTTGTTAAATAGTGATGATAGTTATGATGATAATAGTGAGAATAAGTACACAGTCATAATCAGTATCAGTTAATGCTGTTAATCTGAACAGTTTTTTCACATTGATGGTTCTGCTTTGTGTAAGGACTGATATGAGGCAGGTCAGGTTCCTCAGTCTGTTTGCGTTCTATTAGAGTTCTGCAGTGAGAAGAACACAAAACATCCAGCATCAGATCTGAAACACGTGTATCCTCAGACCCCCAGTAATAAACGCATATATTTCATACATTACCAACGGTTATTGGGTCATAACTGTTTATATTGCTTTTAAATGGACCTCAGTGCAAGAGATTGGAGCAAACAAACAAACAAACAAGCAATAAATAAATAAATTGGGGTCTAAAAGTCTGAACACTTTAAAAACAATCTGGGTTTTTGTTGATTTTAAAGTTTTCGAGTTGTGTAAACTTCAGAGGAGAGTTATGAATATTAAAATGAGTAATAAATATTGACGGTTCTGCTCTGTTTGTAGTGTGACTGCGTGGAGTTGATCATGTTGAGTGTTTGTGCTAAAAGCTCAGAGTGTTTTTAGTCTGATCTCTTCCAGAGTTCAGACTCTCAGCTGTGTCTGATCATCAGAGGCTTTTACACAAACCCGTGGAGTTCATGCTGCACAAGTGTCATTAATGCATGAGGGACACACCACCAAATACTAAGAAATTCAAATTAAAATTTCAAAGATTCTACTTTTCGCTCTAACTGTAATACTGATGATAGAATTTATAATAAAAATGTTGTATTCATTTAGAAGAGAATGCTTAGACTTAAAACAGCATCATTATCAACACTTATATCCGTTATAATTAGAGATAATAATGATAGTAATAATAACCAATGATAAAATGAATAGATCAATCAAAAAGAGGAACACGAGGTCCAACAAACCCATCAAAGACATTATAAAGTGTAATTACACCGACTGCTGCTCTAGAAAAATACATCCAGCCTAAAAAAAGCCCTGAAAGAACTGATGTGCTGGACTTCCTGTCCAGGAAAAAGCTCCTGACCGCTCTTTTCTATTAAAGAAAACAATAGTGTTTAAATCTTAATCGCAAGATTAGAAAACTCACACGTATTTCATCGTTCAGCCCCTAATTAGTGCTGTCAGACAGATTTGGTGCATATTTTAATTTGAATTGTTCTTACATTGTTCTGAAAAGTCATAGTGTGTTATTAGGCGTTAGTACCAATCAGGACTGACCATGTGAGGGTCCGGCTCAGGACTCCTGAATATCTGATGTTTCCTGAAGGAGGATTAGCTGGATGGCCAGACAGCTGGGAGAGTGCTGTAATGTCCTGCTGTTGGAGAGGTCATCTGTCTGTCTGTCTGTCTGTCTGTCTGTCTGGAGAACCCGAGCGCTCCTCTGCAGACTCCTGCCCGGCTGGCCGCTCTATCCGAGCTCCGTTGTTGCTCCTGCTCTGCTAACTGCGCCTCTTTCGGAGCGTCTCCGGCGTCCGTCAGTCGTCTTTGTTCTCTTTGACGTGTTGACATTTCACATTTCATTTTCCTGGCTATAGATTTTCAATCAGCGTATCTCTGCTCCACAAAGGGCCATCGACCACCGCCGGCCTCGCGCTCGATCGGGGCGGCCCGTCCTTTTGTGTTTTAAATATTTATGCTGGACGTGTGTGCGCGGCCTCCTGCCTGACCGGGTAGCGTGGCATTTAGCCGCGGGATTTGTTGATAAGGCCGGCATTGATTGGCGCTCGTTCCTCGTCGTCACTCACCTTCCTGATCACAGGGGAGCTCAGCAGACGCAGCGCTAGCGTCCACTATTGGGTTCTGAGAGGAGCGCTGCTCTGTTACACCGCCTACACCGGACAGGGCAAACTGACCACATATATGGTCTGTTTATATGAGTGTATACACTCTGTATATGTGAGAGTATATGGTCTGTATATATGTATATATGAGAGTATATGAGCGTATACAGTTTGTATATATGAGTGTATACAGTCTGTAT